CCAAAAAAAAAAAAAATTAAAAAAATTAAAAAAAATAAAAAAGATGGGGTCCAGGGAAACAGCACAGGGTGGTGAGTGAAAACGTGTCCCCAGGACTAATCCTCTCTTCAGTTTATTGCTTGTTGGTCAATCGGGCTCAATTCCTCCTGGAGGAGTCTTACTCCAGCACACGACACAATGTGAATTGGACGCGCGCCACCCTTTGCGAGCTCATTGCTACACGGATTCTCCGGCGGTTGGGTGAAGACCACGAGGGTCCCGAAGGTCTTCTACTGCTTGCCAACGTTCTTGTCGCTGGGTTTGAGCCGTTTCAGAACGCCCCCGACCATATTCGAGAAGAGGCCGAGATCAAGACGGCGTGGACCTATCACCGCACACTGCCGTCTCTTGAGGTTGCCATCTTGACCGAGAGCAAGCACTTCCTCAGCTCAAGCACCTGCCACCGCATCATAAACGCCATTTACGAAGGTCGCATCATCTACACTCCGTCGACCTTTTGGGACATCATACCGGATCACTACAAGTTGAAGCCGATATCCTTGTATGACCCGCGGGACTCGCCATTGTTGAATCAGTATCGTCTAATTGTGCCGCGGAACCGAAATATCCTTGAATCGATACAATTTGCCATTCTCCTCGCCTTGTACCTTGGCGTTATGCTTGAAAGAGAGAGGACCAAGCTTACCGTGCTGGAGGCCGCCTTTGATATCTATGCGTTTGGCTGGGGTTTGGACCAGTTTGCTACCATTTTGGCGCACGGATGGTGTGTGTAATCTTTGTTTGGGATAGCAATTTCATCTATACGGCTCGCTGACAAGTCTATACTATAGGGGCGTCTATACCCAAAATCTGTGGTCTTTCTTGGACGTTGGGTTCATTTGCATTTACTCAGTCTATGTGATGCTTCGACTACATGGCTGGCGCGTAGGCCGGTTGGGACCGGGAGAACAAGCCTTTGATGTACTCGCGCTTGCGGCTCCCATGTTGGTACCGCGATTAGCCTTCACCCTACTTTCTGAGAACCTTCTCCTACTGTGTTTAAGATCGATGATGGCAGACTTTTTCTTCCTCACTGCATTATCGGCCTGGTGCTTTTTTGGGTTTCTTCTCAGTCTCTTGTGGCTGGGCGAAGGAGCGCATCCTATTGTGTAAGTTTTTGTGCGTATCGCATCACGTTTCATTGCTAACTTTCAATGTGTATGTAGAACGATATCAAAGTGGATGATTTATATTTGGTTTGGACTGGACGGTACCGGCATTCAGCGATCAGTGAGTCTCCAATCACCACAACTTTCAAAATCGAATGACTAACTCGGCAAGACTGAGTTCCACTGGCTCCTTGGCCCGAGTCTAATGGTGGCGTTCGCATTTCTCGGCAACACACTCTTTCTCACGATTCTCGTGTCTATGCTCTCAAACACCTTCGGTAATATTTCGGCCAACGCAACATCAGAAATTCAGTTCCGCCGAGCTGTCTTAACCCTTGAAGGAGTCAAAGCCGATGCTGTCTTCGCATACCAGCCTCCTTTCAACCTCCTGGCGGTTTTCTTCCTTCTACCACTCAAGTTTGTCGTCAGCCCCCGGTGGTTTCACAAGATACACGTCGCCACTGTTCGCCTTGTCAACCTTCCTCTACTCCTCATTATTGCTGTAGCTGAGCGCCGAATCACATGGACATCTAAAGCCGTAAACCGCACCATATACCCGCGGGCGAAGAAATGGTTCTGGCAAAAATGGCAGCTCTCTGCCCATCGCTATCTTCGCGCTGTGTTCCAGGTTCCACCCCCGGAAGATGCCCATCCAGAAATTGCGGTGGACGACCATTTAACACAACACCTTATCCGACGCCAATTTACGAGACAAGCGACGGTGGAGGGAGTAGTGCCTCAGGTTCGGAAACCATCGCGTAGGGACTCCATGTTTCCGGATAAAATGAGGGGCTCGTTCAACGGAGATACTATGAACGTGGAGGCTAGGTTGGAGTCTATGGAGAAGTCGATGCAGAAAATGGAGCTGCTGCTTTCAAAATTGGTTTCGGTAGACGATGAGGTCATCACTGATACTTCAGAAGATGAAGAATTAGGAGAGGGAAGTACTTTGAGAGAGCCGACCGAGGGATTTACCACGGAGTCATCGTTTGCTGGGCAACAATAGGCACGTCCCTCCATCCATGTTAGCGAGGCGTTTTGGGTGATTCACTACCATAGCATTTGCCAGCTGTCAATGAAATTGTGGGCATGTAACCGCAGTTTCCCTTGTTTCTTTTTTCTCCTCTTCTCCCTTTCTTCTTTTTACACCTTTTTGCACTTGTGTTCTCCTTCCTCCAAACCGTAAAACTTAGACTACACCAATCCCCTAAATCATCTTGTCTAGAGGACCGAAAATGTGCACAGTAACCTACTTCCATAACAAAACCTGCCTCCACACATGGGCCGTCATCACGAATGGCTGCGCCCCCTTCATGGGATTCTCAACTTGTCCTTCGTTTGCGTGCGGTGCTGGAGCTACCAAGGGGAGGCCGAGATTTTACAACACGGTCACGAGGGCGTGTCCGCGCTGTAATGAGACGATGGGCATCCCGTATGATCGGAACTTGGTACGGGTCGTGGAAAGTATGGGATGGGGTTTGAAGATTGGCGCGGGGCCGGACGAGGATGATTGGGGAGTCGATTTGAAGGTCACAGGGTGCAGGTGTGTTGTTCTGTGAAAGGTGCCAGATGCTGGTGGGTTGGCTTTTTGTATGTTGGGATGTGGGGGTTGGGGGAGGGGGGAGTTGGTGATGGCCCTCCAAGTTTTCAACATGCAGCGTTGTTTCGTCGTGCACTGAAGAAGCCAACTTTTAAAAACACGTCTGGCTCTACGAGCAGGATATCATACCCAATCAAGTTACAGCTCATTGAATCTCATTCTCTCTTTTTCCACAACGCGATTGACCCCTTCCCTCCCCCCATCTACCAACACTCACCAACTGCACCAACCGCCCAGGATGCTTCCAACCCCAGATACATCCCACGTGCCCTATTCGCGCGTCTACGAACCGGCCGAGGACTCCTTCCTCCTCCTGGACACGCTCTCTTCCCCCTCGGAAACGGCCTTTCTGCAGACGGCCTTCCCCTCCTCGTCCCCCGCGCCCTTGGTCGTCGAGATTGGCACCGGCTCGGGCATCGTCGTCGCCTTCCTCAACGCCCATGCGCGCACGCTCTTCGGCCACCGCCACCTGCTCACCTGCGGCGCCGACATGAATGCCTTTGCCTGCCGGGCCACCGTGCAGACCGTCCTCACGGCGGCCGCCGCCAACGCCGGCTCGCACGGCATGTACCTGGGCTCGTGGACGGGGGACCTCGCGGGCGCGCTGAGGCCGCGCGAGGTGGACGTGCTGGTGTTCAACCCGCCGTACGTGCCGACGCCGGAGATGCCCGTCCGGCCGGGG